TCAGTCGTTTGTTTTGTTCATCCTCAAAGACTAGGAAAACAGATCAGGAAATCAGACTTTACAAATGTACCCTGCTACCTAGAACCATTCAGCAACTCCAATAAAAGTCTAGATAACACGCACTTTAATCAGAGAGCATCAAATTACCTTAGACCATGAAATCATATTATTTTCTTTACACTATTCTCTATTTCACTCACTATACACATTCTAATCTCTAAAACAAGGCAGAAGTCCAGTGAGGGGATGTTCTATGCAACCTAACTCACCATTAGGACAGCAATTCTATGATTGCAGACTTAAACCTCAACTTTATAAAAGCTAACTTCTGAATGCTTCACTCAAGCTGTACTATTGTTTTAAATGTAGGTGGTTTAATGGGATTTCAGCTGTCAAAAAGAGACCTCACATGAGTATACCTGGGATATTCAAAAAGAAAGAACTTAAGTTCACTTGTATTGAACTTCATAATTTGAGCTCCTGGAATAACTTGTGCTGATGGTTATTATTAAATAATAGGGAACGAGGTGGGAAAAAACCCATATTGGCAGTACAACTGACTAATATTGATAGCAAAAGAATGACAATTTTGACTCTAACTTCAGATTCTATCATTAGAGGGGCAAAAATATACAAGTTACTTCTTTGGTACTAACTTCTAAATTCCCTAAGCCAGACACAGGAAAAAATGTACTTTTGTAGGTGTCACAGTAAAAGTTTATCCCAGAAATAAGATGAAAATCCCATATTTTTTTCTCTCTTATGTATGTGTAAGTAACGTATGCATGTGTACACACACGCCCTTCTAAAACAAAAAATAAAATCTAATTTTTGGTTTATATACTGCAAGTGAATTTTCAGTTCAAGCCAGACTTGAATTTTTCTTTTTTAAACCATATAGCAATGATTATGTTGGCTTTCTAAGAAAAAAATTAGCTCTTCCTGCTTCAAAAGAAAGTTTATGTTCACATCTAATGCACACAAAATGAGATATCAAATCATAAGCCACAGGTCAGCAAATTAAATACTGCACGTCTGATTAACCATCACCTGTATATTCCTTCCTTGTTATTAAGAAACTACTCCTGGTGTTGTGTCTATACAGCTTTCAGGTACAGCAGCAGCTGACTTTCTAGTAAATGCTGCTTTACTGCTTGCATACCCAAACAAACCTAAACTACATTATATTATGCCACAGACTACAGCCAATGTGAAACAAACACAATGAAACACATTGAGGCCTTTTTACCACAGGGAAAGAAGAAACATCTAGCAGAAATGGTGAATGATATGAACAGATAATAAGTTTTTTCAGTACTCTATCTATTGAATACAATTTAATAAAATTTCTACTCATGAACAAAAAAAACCCATAAATAATATTTGTTTTGCTAGGGACTTTGTGCTTCAGCA